TCTCTCTCTCTCTCTCTCTCTCTCTCTCTCTCTCTCTCTCTCTCTCTCATTTTGATTGTATCCTTACTAGTATAATGCCTGGTTCAGAGGATACTCTCACCAAATACTTGTTGATTACTTGATTCAAATATTCAAAGAATTGATATGTGGAGGAAGGATTCAATTGATCCTATCAGGTCCAAGGGGCTGGAACCACATGTAGGGGAAAATGGTCTGATTTAGGCTTGAACTCAAGAGAAGCTGTCCCAAAGGAGAGAGGGAGGGGGAGGAGAGAGGGAGAAAGGGAGGGATGGAAGGATGAGGGATAGAGGGAGGAAGGGATGAAAGGAAGGAAGGAAAGAAGAAAGGAAGGAAAGAAGGAAGGGGTTGGGGGGAGCATGGTATGGTGAAAAGATTGCTTGACCTAGGGTCATCGGACCTGGGTCTACCAATTATTAGCAACGTGACCCTGGGCAAGCCTCAAGGATGTAACATGAGGTAGTCAATAGAGAACTAGATTTGGAGTCAGGAAAACTTGAGTTCCAATCCTGTCTCAGTTATTATCTGCATAATCCTGGACAGATCACTTAACATCTAGCCTCAGTTTCCTCATCTGTAAAATGAAGGGCTCGTACTCAGCCTGACAACCTCTAAAGTCTCTTCCACAAATACATGAGCCCTCTCAAACTTCAAAAACCAATAAACACTTTTGTTAAGCACCTACTGTGTTCCAGGCACCAGGGATACAAGAACAAAAGTGAGTCAGTCTCTGACCTCAAGGCACTTATATGCTAATAAACCTGATATAGACTGTGCAATCACCTTATCCTGAGACAATCCCATTGGAAGATGGTCTCCAAAGCATCCATGTTCATCCCAGGGCAGGGGAACAGTATGATAAAATCACTGGCACTGGAGTCAGGAGTCTCCAGGTTGAAATCCTGTCTCTGATGCTTAATCCTTATGTAACCCTGGGCAAGGCACTAAGCCTCAGTTTCCTCATCTGTAAAATGAGAAGGTTGGGCTAAGGTCCCTTCCAGCTCTAAATTTATGACTCAAAGGGAACCTTGGAGCAAGGCATGCCATGCAGGGAGAATATTCTAGCTAGAGACCCCTGCAGATATGGGCTTGGGATGCCCAGGCTGTGCGTGGGTTAGTTGAAGTTGATTTGCTCTTCCTCATCCCAGCATCAAATCTATTTGCGGGGCTTCACAAGAACATTTCCCTTTGAATAGTGCCATCCTGCTGGTTAAAAGACCTTCCACCCAGCAAGCCCCCTCCACCCTCCCAGTTATTTTTAGCCTCATTTTCCTGACTTCTGAACTTCAAGTGGGAGTCCCATATGTTATCTCTTAAGGATGCTGCCACCCTGTTCATCTCTTCTGGCTGTTGCTACTTCCTGGGCTCCAGTCAACTTTGCATGCCTCCTGAACCCAATGAGAATGGGAGCTTGCTGAAGGCCTGAGGGTCATGTTCTCACCCAAGGCCTGAGGGACTCCGTGACTTACATCTCCATTCATGAGTTTACAATCATCGTCAATTTCATCAGCGCTGTCCTCATCAGATACATCCCCCTCTTCTGCATCTTCACTGATATTAGCTGGGAGTTTCTTCCCCTGGGGACCAAAAAGGAAAAATAATAGGGTGTCAGATGGTGAGATTAAATAAGCCAAGAAAAGAAGGACAAAGTAGGTGGGGGGAGCTCAGTGCCCTTGGCTACATCCTAGTCACACTCTCTTCTCCTGGGTTTTTTCTCCCCTCCAGGTTTTCCTGACACTGACTTCTCCTGGTTCGTCTCCTATCTAACTACCCTCCCTGGGGGCCATGGGCATTTTAGTCAACTTAACTGCACAATTCCAAAAATGGTTGCATTGAGTCCCAAGTTCACCCACAATGTACTACTGTGCTTATCTTGACACAACCCCTCCAACATCAACTATTCCCACCTTTTGTTATCTTTGACAATTTGAAGGGTGTGAGCTGAAACCTTGTAGTTCTCTTAATAGTAGGGGTTTGGAGCATTCTTTCCTAGGATTGTTAACAGTTGTGATTCTTCCTTTGAGAAGTTTGTTCATATCCTGTGACCATTTCTCTATTAGAGAATGGGTTCTGGTTATTGAAATATCTTGGATACCAAATCTTATCTGAGAAATCTGATGCAAAGATTATCCCCCATTTCACTGCTTCTCTTCTAATTCTAGGCACATTATTTTTGTCTGTGTATAAGCTTTTCAGTTTCATGTAATCAAAATTATCTATTTTTTTTAATTGTCTCTGTCTCTTGTTTGGTTAAGAATTAACCCTGCTAAAACAAGAATTAGTGACAGTTCGAGAGAACTCACAATGGGGTATGCTACCCACATCCAGATAGAGGTGAATGACTCAAGAGTGCAGATTGAGGCATATATTTTTGGATGTGACTACTGTGGGAATTTTTTTGCTTGACTGTATATGTTTATAACAAATTTTGTTTTTCTTGCTTTTTCAAGGAGGGGAAAAGGAAGGTAGAAGGGAAAGAATTTGGAGCTGAAAATAAAATAAAATTGAATTAAAAAACAAAATACTAAATTTCCCCCCTCCCCAAAGAATACTTTTCCTACTTATAGCTCTGAATCATGATTTGATTTGTTTCTAATTTTTTTGGCATACTTTTTAATATTAAGGTCACACATTTGTTTAGAATTTATTGTAGACCATATTGTAATATGTTGGTCTGAACTTAATTTCTGCCAGACTGTTTTCCAGTACACCAACTACCTTTGGGACATCTCAAACTGGGTGTCTTGTAGGCATCTCAAGCTCAACATGTTAAAATCGAATTCATTCTCTTTCTCTGTTCACTTTCCTCTCTTCCAAACTTCTCTTTTTCTGTTCAGAGCACCACTGTCCTCCCAGTCTACCCAGGCTCACAGCCAAGGTGTTGTTCCTGACTCCTTTTTAATACTCGCTCCACGTATCCTATCTGTTGTCAAATCCTGCTGTTTCTATCTTCACGGCATCTCATGTATATCCTCTTCTGTCCTCTGACACGGCCGCCATCTTGTTGCAGACCGTCACTTTCACTGTGATTGCAATAGCTTCGTCTTTCTGCCTCAAGTCTCTTTCCTCTCCAATGCACCCTCCACTCAGTGGTCAAAGTGAATCTCTCAAAGCATAGATCTCATTGTGTCATTGCCCCAGCTTAAACTCCAATGATTCCCCTATTATCTACAGAACAAAATATAAAATGTTGTTTGACATTTAAATCCCTTTACAACCTGGTCTCTTCCTTCCCTTGCAGTCTTCTCACACCTTACTCCCTCTCAGGTACCCTATAATCCAGGGACACTGGTTTCTTTACTATTCCTCACGTGCAATACTCCACCTCTAATCTCTATGCTTTTGCGTGGTTAGCCCTCATGCCTGGAATGCCATCCCTCCTTGCTCCCACCTCCTGGCTTCCCTGATCTCCTTCAAGACTCAGCTCAAATCTCATCTTCATCAGGAGACCTTTCCTGGTTTGCCCCTTGACCAGGGCCTCCCTCTAAGGTTACCTTCTGCCTACTCTGCATATACTGCGTGTGTGTGTGTGTGTGTGTGTGTGTGTGTGTGTGTGTATAATACACACATATGAGAGAGAGAGAGAATATACACATTATTGTTGTTCAGTTGTTTTCAGTTGTGTCCAATTCTTCATGACACCATTTGGGGTTTTCTTGGCAGAGATACTGAGGAATTTGCCATTTCCTTCTCCAGCTCATTTGACAGAAGAGGAAACTAAGGTAAACAGGGTGAAGTGACTTGTCCAGGGCAAACACCTAGGAAGTGTCTGAGGCTGGATTTCAACTGCATGAGTTTTCCTGATTCCAAGCCCAGCACTCTAACCACTGCGCCACACATTGTTTCCATTAGAATATGAGCTCCTTGAAGGCAGGGACACTATTTTTTGCCTTTCTATCTTTCCAGCACTTAGCACAGCGCCTGGCACATAGTAAGTACTTAACAACCTCTCGTATGCTGATCGACACTTCCTACTGGGTGATCTAAGGCAAGTACTTTCCCCTCTCTTAGGGTCTTCAGTTTCCTCACTTGTAAACTAAGGGGATGTATGAGTTCATTTCTAAGGTCCCTTCCTCATCTAAATCTATGCTCCTAAACCGAGCTTGCAAGTCCACTGAGACCCAAGGGTCTTTTTCATCTATGGACTATTAGTCTCCCTAGTGACTCCCCCAAGGCTACAGATTGTTAGCAGCAGAAACCACTCCTGGTGCCAGGTTTTTTCTCCCACCAAGAGGGAAGAAGGAGAGGTCATTCTGTAGCTGAGCTATGACTCAGTTCCACTCAACTTTCCTTCTTTATGGGACTGGCAGGGGAGCCCCAAGGGAAGGCTCCGGATGGCCGGCTGTCCAGTTATGGTCCTCTATCCTTTCCCTGCTTACTGAGAATAAGAGAGTGTGTCAACTTACACTCCCCACCTTCAGGACATAGCTTCAAAACCCTTTGGAAGCCAGGGCCAGAGGCAAAGAAAAGGGTTCAATTCAAAGGCCAGACCTGCCCGAAATCAGTGGTTAAGTGACTTTTCCTGGAAATAGACTCTTCATTAGGGAGAGAAAAGCCTACTCCGAGGTTATCAGCCAGATGGGCCTCAGGGCTGCAGGAGCGCAGACGGGTTCATCAGACAGTGTAGCACACGGTCCTCCAGGGCTGTATGTGGACTGACTCTCCCCTCCCCAGTGCCCAGGATGATTAGATTATAGATTCAGAGCTGAAAGGGACTCTAGGGGCCTTCTAGTTTTGTGGAAACTGAGATACAGAGAGGTTTGATTAGATTATAAACTCCTCAAGGCCAGGCACCTGTCTCTTGCCTCTTTGTATCCTTAGCATTTACCACGGTGCCTGACACATAGTAGTCACTTAATAAATGTTTAGTGAATTGAATTGAAGTAAAATGACTTGGCAGGGTCCCATAAGGAGTGAGGAGCAAAGTTGGAATTCAAAGCCAGCTTCTTTGACCCCATCTCTAGCACTGTTTCCATGGTAACTTGCTGCTTCCAAGGTGGCTATGATTTCTGAGAGATTGCCTGGATTTCTTAGAGTACAGTAACTGCTTAATAAATGCTCTATTGTTTTTCTTATGAGGCACTAAATGGAGCAGTAGATAGAGCACTGGGTCTGGAGTCAGGAAGACCCAAGTTCAAATCATGTTTCAGACACTTACTAGCTATGTGACCTTGGGCATCACTTATTTTATATCTGCCTCAGTCTCTTCATCTGTAAAATGGAGATAATAATAGCACCTACCTCTCATGGTTTGTTGTGAGGATCAAACAAAATAAGAATTGTAAAGTGCTTACTTTAGCATGGTGCCTGACACATTGCCAGTGCTATATAGTTAACTATTATTATTTATTAACTATTATTACTACTGAATGTGTCAAGGATAAAAATTCTATACTCTAGACCCAGAGTAATGTGGTATTATGAGAATAGCAATGGATTTGGACCTGGGTTCAAATCCCATTTATGCTACTTACTTACCCATGTGACCTTGGGGAAGTTTCTTAACCACTGGTTCTTAATTTGTTCATCTTTAAATGAGGGGGTTAATCTAGGTCATTTCTAAGGTCCCTTTCAGTTTCATTTCTATGATCCCATATAATCTCTGGGCCAGAAGGAACCTCAGAGATGATCTAGTCCAATCTTCTCATTTTACAGTTGGGGAAACTGAGGCCAGAGTGGCCCAGGTTAAATTACTTAGCCAAGGTCACATTGGCAGAGCCAGAAGCATGATCATAGAATCTTAGATCTGGGAAGGATCACAAGGTTCAACCTTTACTTGACCAGGGGTCTCCTAGACAACAGTCCCAACAAAGTGATCATCTAAGCCTTGAGGCCTTCTGGTGATGGGGAAGTCCATTCCTCTAAGGCAGCCCATCCCACTTTCAGACAGCTCTTACTGTGAGGATGATTTCCCTAATGTGAAACTGAAATCTGGAAGGTGGTAACTTGGAAAGAACATTGGATTAAGAGACAGTAGACCTGGACTTGAGGACTAACTTTGTCATTTTCTATGTGAGTTATTTCATCTCTCTAGGTCCACTTTTCTCATCTGTAAAATGGGAAGGAGGGCAGCTAGGTGGTGCCATAGAGCATAGAGCGCTGGGCCTGGAATCAGGAGGACCTGAGTTCAAATCTGGCCTCAGATACTGCCTACCTGTGTGACCCTGGACAAGTCACATCACCCTGTTTGCCTCAGTTTCCTCATCTGTAAAATGAGCTGGAGAAGGAAAAGGCGAACCACTCCAGTATCTTTGCCAAGAAAACCCTAAATGGGGTCACCGAGGGTTGAACTTGACTGAAATGACTGAAAAATAAAAATGCGGTGTAGGCTGGACTTGAAGGCCTCTGAGGCCTCTTCCAGTTCTAGGGCTAAGATCCCATTATTCTATGATAGCTCTGTGCCTCAGTTTCCTCATCTGTCAGAAGACTTTCAAGGTCCCCCTTCCTTCTCTCAAGCGAGAAACTTACATTCTCTGCACTTCAGGCTTCTGAGGCCAGGTCAAACCTAGAACCAAACCATGTATTTGGAGTTCTGGGCCGGGGCATTTTCTACAAGATTGTGCTGCTTCTGACAGCATAAATCCTCCTCCTTCTGTCGTTCTCCCAACCCAGGGGTGTGCTGGAGCCAAATCGTGCAGGTTTCTGATAGCCAGTGGTTAAATTTTCAGTGTGAGCATTTACAACCCAGAAATCAGCAACTGCTCCAAATCAGGACTCGATTTATAGTTTTGTTGATTGTCCAGGACTTTAAAAAGCGTTGGAAAAAATGTGAATAATGCATATTAAACTTTGAAGTGTGCCCTGCATTTTCAGAGAGCCAGTTATTAAACATTTACCAGCCCACCCCTGACCCACCCTACACGAGAAGCTAGAGGGGGCACATATGAGTCTGGAAACCAAATTCCCTCTCTGATGCCCAAGCTCTTCAGCCCTAACTGACAAATCATAGGAACATAGGTTTATTTATTTTATTTTATTTATTTTTTTTAGGCAATTGGGGTTAAGTGACTTGCCCAGGGTCACACATCTAGTAAGTGTTCAATGTTTGGTCTGAGGTCAGATTTGAACTCAGGTCCTCCTGACTTCAGGGCCAGTACTCTATCCACTGTGCCATCTAGCTGCCCCCTGTTTATTTTTAAAATAGCATTTGTTTTCTGATTACATGTAAAGACAATTTTTAACATTCATTAAAAAAATTTAGTTCCAAACTTTTCTCCCTCCCTCCCCCCCCGAATGGTAAGCAATTTGATATAGGTTATATAGGAATATAGATTTAGAATAGACCTTAGAAGCCATCTATTCCTTTCATTTTACAGATGAGGAAACTAAGGCTAAAAAAGGTTTAATGCTCACATAGGGTCACACAGGTAGTAAGGGGCTGGGACAAGATTAGAACTCAAGTCTTCCTAATGCCATGCCTAGTACTTTATCCATTATGTCACTTAGCTCCCCTATCCCTCTCCTGAACTCCAACCTTGAATCACTAACCATCTGCTGGACATCTCTGCTTAGCCCTCTTGGCATCTCAAAGTCAAGATAACCAAATTAAAAAAATCTCATTGACCTTCCTTCACATGCCCATCCTCATTTTGAACACCTTTGTTTCTGGCACGAGTACCACTGTCCTTTCAGTCGCTCATGTTTGCAAATTTGAAATCATTCATGAGATACAGAAAAATTGTCAACTTCTTAATGCTGGAAGATATACCTGCCTCTATTAAGATTATTAATCTTAATAGATTAATTTTATCAATCTTAATAGATTAATCTTATCAATCTTAGATTAATCTTATTAAATTAATCTTAATAGATTAATCTTAATAGATTAATTTTATTAATCTTACTAGATTAATCTTTAACTATTAATCTCTTTGGATTTTTTTTGTTATGACTGCTGAGTTTGTGGTCCACTAAAAATATCAGATTGTTTTCAGACAAGCTGATGCCCATGAGGAACCCCTGGCCCTCCAGAGGTCCCCAGGTGGGCTACCACCCCAGGATGTCCAGGACAGGCAGGGCCTTTACCTTCACTAAGATCTTGCCTTTCAGCTTCTCCGGAGATGGCAGAGTGCTTGAGTCTTCCTCACTGCTCACTGTCGACAAGTCCAGTTTGTCCCCTAGGATGTCAGTCAGGTACTGCGCCATCTTCTTCTGCTGAAGGACACTGCAGTGGTTCTCAATGGACAGGATCACTGGGTACCTGGGAGGAGGAAGGAGGAAAGGGGGCATATAAGAAGAGAAGCTGGCTCATAGAACTAGGAGCAGCTGCTAGACCCTGGCACTCAGGAACAGGGGAGAGAAAGGTGCCTTTGTTAGGAAACTGAGACAAAAGGAAGCCACAGGACTCTAGGAATGATCTGGGCTGACGAGGTTCTGGCAGCAATCACAAACTTTTCAGAAAATGTACATGATTGAGAGGGGGAGGGGGAAGGAGAAAAGCAGAAGAAGATTGGAAGGGGGAGGTGCACACAAAGAGAGAGGGAAAGAGAGGAAAGGGAGAAAGAGGAGAAAGGGAAGGAGGGAGGGAGGGAAAGAGAGAGGAGAAAGAGGAAGAAAGGAGGAAGAAGAAGAGAAAGAGGGAGGGAGAGGAGAACAGAGAAGGAGAACAGAAGGGAGAAAGAAAAAGAAAGGAAGGAAGGAAGGGAGAGAAGGAGGGAGGAAGAAGGGAAGGAAGGAAGAAAAAGAAAGGAAGGAAGGAAAGAGAAAAAGGGAAGAGGAGGAGAGAGATGGAGGAAAATAGGGGAAAAGGGGAGAGGAAAGGAAGAAAGGAAGGAAGGGGAAAAGATGAGAGAGGGAAAAGAAGAAAAGGGGAGGAAGGAACAGATGAAAGGGGAGAGGGAGGGATGAGGAGAGATGGGGGAAGAGGATGAGAGAGAGGGAGGGAAAGGAGAACACAGAAGGAGGGGGGAAAGAGGAAGAGAAAGAGAGGAAAAGAGAAGAAGAGGAGGATAGAGAAGATGGGAGCAGGAGAGAAGGAAATAAGAAAGGAAAGAAAGGAAGACAGGGAGAGAGAAGCAGAGTGAGAAGGAGGATAGACAAACCAGAAAGAACATGAGAGATCAAAACTACAATCAATCGACTAAAAAGCATTTATTAAGCCCTCTTATGTGTAGGCAGACAAGAGTGGCAGGGACAGCTGGATCATAGGCAACCTGTAGTTATCTAATCCAGCCCCCCTCATTTTACAAATGAGGAAACTGGGACCCAGAGAGGTGACCTGACAACTTAGCTAGTGTGTGCTCCTCTCTCTCTTCCTCTCTTTCCCTCCCTCCCTTTCCCTCTCTCTTTGTCTCTGTCTCTTTCTGTCTCTGTCTCTGTGTGTGTATATATATATATATGCGCCCATTAATGAGGAGTGTCTGTCTCTGTGTGTGTGTGTGTGTGTGTGTGTGTATACAAGTGTATCTCCAAGGTAAGAGGCAGCATGCAAACCACTTCTCTGTTCCTCAGTTACCCCTTTTGTAAAATGAGGCTCTAAGCAGCCCCTGCCTCCCAGGCCCAAATGAGATGATGTGTGGGAAGCCCTCTATAGACCTTCAAACTCTATGGAAATGTTGGGTATTATTGCTATTACAATTCAAGGTCTCATAGCAGAATGTATTATTGTAATCACATTATTATGCAGACATTATTATAATAGCAATGAATAGCACCGCACCTTCTTAAGAATCCTTCCAGCCCATTGCCATCTCACCTGCTCTATTAACCTTTTACCTAAGAGCCCACTTAAGTGGGTCAAATCCACCTAAAGACATTAAGCTCCCATCAGGGGTGGGGATCCCTTTAGCCCCCAGGCAATGACCACATGCTACATCTATTAGCCTTTTCTCAGTCCTGATTCTGCAGTCTTTGACATTGTCAATCACCATCTCCTCTTTCAGGACCACCCCCTCCCCCTTTCCAGGTGTAAGAAGACTGGAAAGGTAGGAGGGGTACCAGTGATGAAGGGCTCTGAATGCCAAACAAAGCATTTTTTATTTGATCTTGGAGGCGATAGGGAGACCCTGGAGTCTGACATGATCAGACCCCCACTTGAGGAAAACCACTTTGGTGACTGAATTACATGGATTGGAGTAGGGAGAGAATTGATACAGGCAGAGCCCCCAGCAGCTATTTTAACGATCTAGGTGTGAGGTAATGAGGATCTTCATCAGTGTGGGGGCAACATCAGAGGAGTAAAGGGGGCATTTTCAAGATATGTTGTTCAATTGTTTTGTTTTGAGTCACGTCTGACTTTTTGTGACCTCATTTGGGGTTTTCTTGGCAAGGATACTGAAGTGGTTTGCCATTTCCTTCTCCAGCTCATTTTACAGATGAGGAAACTGAGGCAAACAGGGTAAAGTGACTTGCTTAGGGGTCACCCAGCCCTCAAGTGTCTGAGGCCAGATTTGAACTCAAGAAGATGAGTCTTCCTAACTCTAGGTCCGGCGCTCTATCTATGGCGCCACCTAGCCGCCATTGAGAGATGTTGCAAAATGACAGTTGTTGGCAGCAGATTATCTCTAAGGGATGAGAGATAGTGAGAAGTTGAGAATGAAGCCTAGGTTGTGAGCCTGGGTGACTGAAGAGATGGTGGCATCCAGCACATGAAAAGAGATGTTAGGAAGAGAGGAGGTTGGGGGGTGGGCAGCTGGGAGAAGAGTGAGTACAGTTTTGGACATATTGAGATTAAGATGCCTGCAGAATATCCAGTTCATTAGATCCAATAGACAATTGGAGATTTGAGGCTGGAGTTCAGGAGAGAGGTTAAGTCTCTGGATAAGTAGATTTGAGAACTGCTAGCAGAGAGATGATAATGGAGTCCATGGGAGCAGATGAGATCACCTAGTAAAATAACATAAAGGGAGAAGAGGACAGGGTCCAGGACAGAGCCTGAGGTTGGGGGTGGGGGACACTCCTCATTAATTGGCATGTTGTTGAGGAAGATCCAGAAAAGGAGACAGAGAAGGAGCAGTCAGACAGGTAGGAGGAGAACCGTGTTTGGACACCTTCCTTCCCATCATCTTCCCCTCCCAAAATCCCTCACCTCCTTCACAACTCCGCTGCAATCCCCCTTCTTCAAAGCGCCTTCTCCATCCCCTCCCCCACCTGTCCCCCACTGCCAGTATCCATTCCATTTTCTCTCCAGCTAGCTCCTATGTGCCGGGTTATTTACATGTAATCTCTCCCATTAGGATCTGAGCCCTTGAGGGCAGAGACTCTCTTTGCACCTTTCTTTGCAACCTCACCACTTAGCACAGAACCTGTCATGTAGGAGGTGCTTAATAAATGCTTTTGGTTGACTGCTTGCCTGGCACCAGGTGAGTGCTTAATAAACGCTCATTGAATTCAATCATGGGCTCGCCATGTACTTGTCTGTCATGGAGATTCAGAGCCTCATTTCCCCATTCCAGAAATCCTGCTAAGCCAACAGCCTGAACTGAAGATGCCTATCTCTCTGATTACCAGCATGCCTCACTCAGAGCTAGGCCCACCAATTTATGAAGGTGTCACTCTATTTTTAATTCTCAAATTAATCTTGTTCCTTTTTTTTCTTCCTGGTACAATTAACACTTCCTTCCCAGACCGAGAGCCTCCATTCGACAAGACTTGAATGCAAAAGTCATAATAGACAGTCTATTTTGAGAAACTAAATTGGAATTTTTTTTAATGGTGTTTTGTAACCACGCTGAGTGATAACAAAGCAGGCCTGAAGGCTCTGTGTCTCCTCTGGGGTAATTAATATGTGAACCATAATAAATGGGATCATTACACGTATGTGGGAGGCTGTTTGCCCACTGAACTGCAGACACAGGCAGACAAGAACACATCCCCAAACAGGTGGGCACGGATGTGCACACACACAGTCCCACACATAAACTCCCACATCCAGGCATATATTTCTCTTCTCCCTCATCAATAAGTCACTAAGTGTTGATTCCACTTCAGAATCACAGGATGTAAGGATGGGAAAGGACCTTCTCAGCCATCTGAGTCTATCACATACCCCAATACCACCCTCCACACAGCTACCATATTAACCTTCCTCAAAGCATAGCTCTGATCGGGCCCTTCCTCTGCTCTAGAGAGGATCTCTGCTCAAGAGCATTCCAGAGGAGCTCCAAAGGAGATCAGGGCTTCAGTGGGGAAGTAAGGGAAGAAGGGGTCCATGACTTGCAAAGGTGATTTCAGGTGAGAGGACCCTGGCTTTCTGCCTAAAGGAGAAAGTAGGGCACCGGGCCAAAGGATGGAATCAGAGATAATGAAAAAGAAGTTTATTGGGACCTGGCTGACCTGTTTATGGTATGTGTGTGTGTGTGTGTGTGTGTGTGTGTGTGTGTGAGTGTGTGTGTGTGTGTGTGTGTGTGTGTGTGTGTGTGTGTGTTGGGGCATGGGCAGTATGGCCAGTGTGTGTATGTGTATTTATTTTGGAGGAGAGGCAGTGTCCCCAGCCCCAAGGACCAGTGGGAAGGGCTTCTGGATGCCCTAAAGGAAAAGGAAAAGTTATGATGCAGTCTGATCAGAATATCATTGCTGTCCCAGCAGTTTAGGTATCTATCTAGCCTCAACCCAACTGGCCCAATCCCATGCCTTTAGTGATATCTGTTTGCTCAGCGGAATGACAGAATTTTAGAGGTAGAAGGATCTTAGTGGCCATCTCAATCAAGCCATCCTTAGCCAAATACCCCACCTACAACATGCCTGCCCATTGGTCCTCCAGCCCCTGCTCAGATATCTCCTAGGAGGGGGAACCCACCACTCTTTGAGACAGCCCACTTTGCCACAATGCTAATTGTTAAGGAAGGTTTTCATTTCGTTTTGCTTATTTTTAAATCATGCCTAAATCTGCCTCTCTATATCCCCATCTTATTGATCCTGACTCTGCCCTCTAGTGCCAAGCAGAAAAAGGCTAATCCCTTCTCTATATCATAGCCATTTCAATATTTGAAGACAGTTATTGTGTTCTTCCTGCCCCCTCCAAACCCTCTCATCTTCAGGTTATCCATCTCCAGTCTTAATATGGCCTAGGCTCCAGGTTTTCACCATCCTAGTTTCTTTCCTCTGTACATTCTCCAGCTTACTAAACGTCCTTCCTAAAATGTGGCACCCAGAGCTAAACCCAATATTCCAGATGGAGTCTGACCTGGACAGAGGAGAGAAGGCCCATTACCTCCTTATTCCTAGATACTGTGCCACTTAATACTGCCATAATTGCATTCATTTTTAAGGTTTGCCAAAATAAATGTATGGCTTTAGAACTGGAAGGAAATTTGTTCCAACCTCCCTCATTTTTACAGATGAAGAAACTGAAGTCCAGAGTAGAACTTGCCCAAATTCAAACAAAGAGTTAGGATCAGAGCTGAGATAAGAACCCAGTCTCATCTTGCCTAGATGTAGATGGACCCAATGGAATCAGGGGGCCCCAAGGACTGCAGGGGTTGCCACTCACTCGTTCTTGATGAAGGCGTATTTGTTGATTGTCTCAATGACGTCTTTAAAGAGGATCTTGGAGGTCAAGGTATAACCATGGTGTACGATGGGCTCCCCGTCTGGTCCATCCCAACAGTCCACTGGAGAGGGGCAAAGTTCAAGGTCAGCTGATGAGTGCCACAAGGTCCTTCAGAACCTTCCTCGCTGGACTCCTTTTTCTCCACTACCCTTCACACTCTGGCAGGCCAATCAGATTACTGTCTCTCTGTCTTCATTCCACCTTCTCCCATCCCTAGCCCTTGGTTCACATCATCCCTATATCCCCCTTCATTTATTGAAATCCCTCCATCCCTTTAAAGCCCAACTCAGGTGCCATTGGCCCATGAAGGCTCCCTGACCCCTTCATCCCACCCAGATAAAGAGATCTCTCCTTCTCACATTTCTCCAAGCACTGTGCCTGGATATCTCCTTCACCCATCTCATATTCTAATTTGCAGCATAGTCATTCAGGTATGCATCTTATCCCTCCCTCCAAATCAAAAATTTTTATAAGCTCTTTGAAGCCAACTATACGAGTTTAATATATATATATATATATGTATATATACTAACATTGAACACAGAATCCTGCATATGGTAGTTATTTATTAAATGTTTGTGGGGCATGAATTGACTAGTCACAATTTTGTCTCCAAATCCCTTCCTTGAAAAAAAAAATAGAATTAAAAATTTTAATTAGTTAAGTCCTTAAACCCTCAAGGCTAGGGAGAGAACTCTCTCTCTCTCTCTCTCCCCTCTCTGTTTCTGTCTCTCTGTTTCTCTCTTCCCTTCTCTCTCTCTGTCTCTCTCTCTCTTTCTCTCTCTATCACTCTCCTTCCACCATAATAGAAAGGCTGGATCCAAGTCCAACATTTCAAGACTTTCAGCACACTGTAGGTTCTTTAATAAATGATCTTTGAATTAATGAAAGAAAATGGGGAAGATGAACCTGGCCAACATTTCTTAGGTGCCCTCTATGTGCTAGGGACTGTGCTAAGTGTTAGAGATGTAAGAGAAAACAGCTCTTGCCCTCTGGATGCTTACATTCTAGTAGAGGAGACAATATGCATACAGAGAAGGAAATGGGGAGTGTATATAAAGGGAATGGAAGGTCATTTGGAGAGTGCTCGTAGTGGGACAAACCAGGAAAATCTTCATGTCTAGGGCAGCGCTTGGGCTGCATCTTGAAGGAAACCCAGGATTCCAAGAAAGAAAACTGAGAAAATGTCACATTACATTGAATTGATTGAATATATCTTTGTAGTCTGTATTCTTCTTGTTTCCTCCATTAGAATGTAAGCTCCTAGGGGGAGGGACTTTTTTTTTGTCTTCATATGGCCAGTGCCTAGCACATACATAGTAGGCACTTAACACTCGCCTGTTGGGTTGGACAGGAAGTGATCGGCGTGGGAGTAGTCCTCAGCCAGAGAATGGCTCAGATGCCTGGTGGCAGGGTCACATTTAGGGATGCCTGTGCCTAAAGCATAGAACTGTTCTTCTGGACTTTCAGTGACCCCATTGCCCATAGGAGACTTCAGGCCAGGGCAGACAAGTCTATATTTACTAAGTCCTCTGCTTAGCCTTTCAGTATGATCTCTAAGATCCTAAGGTCAAATGCTGCACACAGAGGGAAGGAAGGAAGGCTGGAAGTAGAAATGGGAAATATCTCCCATACCTTCTCCCACAATAACCACCCTTAATCATGTCTGAATAGAGATTTACATTTAGAAAAAAGCTTTCATATCTATTTTCTTAGCTGACCCTCAATACCCCTGTGAAAGGGCCAGGGCTAAAATTACTTATTATTACAAAAGCCAAGATAAATCGACTTAGCCAAAGTCACACAGTTATTAGTGGCAAGGCTAGGAATTGGATTCAGGTTTGCAGAATGCTCTCTTAGTTCTCTGGAAGAACCAGGAGGCCTCTGCCAGGTAATCCCACAGGTCGGGAACAAGGCTGGTACCTATGGTTATAGACCACTCTACCTCTCACCTTCCACACAGCGGCAGCCGGCCTGCAGGACCCACGAGTACATGTCCACCCGAGACTGGGACATGAGCTGGTCCCCAATGAGGTAGGTATTATGGGAAGAGGTGATGAAGTAGTAACTTAGCGGGTAGGTCATGTCCTGATTTACTTGGTAGTGCTTGGGGTTGAAAATGTCTCCTTCTGGACTCCTGGTGTAGTTAGTAAAACCTGGGAGGGATGAGATGGACAAGAACTCAGATCTGCCAGTGACACAGCAAGAATGTTACCTAGAACATTTGGAAAAGGGTGGAGTGGAGGGGAAGAGTGAAAGGGTTGACAATAACAGTAACTGGTATTTATATAGCGTATGACACATATTATCTCATTTGATCCTCATAAAAACCCTGAATTGTAGATGTCATTATCATCCTTATTTTTAGATGAATCAGTGGAAAGAGCTCTGGATTTTGAATCTGGACCTGGCTTCAAATATCATCTTTACCACTTGCCATTCGTTTGACCTTGGCCAAAGCACTTAACATTTCTGGGTCTCAATTTCTCAGCTATAAAATAAGGAGGGTAGAGTATATGACCTTGAAGGTCCCTCCCACCTCAATATCCAAGAGACCTACCGAGGATCACACAGAAAACTAGTATCTCCATCAATGGCATGGGTAGGGTGGTGGTGAGCAAGCTGCTTTTTCTTTTTTTTTAAATAGCGCCCTATTTAGATCTATAGACAGTATGAGGCAGGATTTGAACTCAGTTCTTTCACATGCTATCCATTACGCCACCATGTATAGTCTCAAAACATTAGCAGTAAAAGGGGCCTTAGGGATAACAGAATCATAAATCTATAGCTAGAAAGGATTTTAGATCTGTTTCAACCTCTTTGCTTTTACAAAAGAGAAAGCTGAGGTCCTGAAAAAGAATATGAGTTGCCCAAGGTCACACCACATATTATTGGCAAAGGTCGGGCTAATAATTTTTTAAAAAGTAATAATAGCTAGCATTTCATATAATACTTTAAGAAGGTTTGCAAAGAGCTTTAGAGATAGATGTTATCTCATTTGGCCCTCACAACAACCTTGTGAAGTAGGTACTATTATTATCACTCCCATTTTACAGATAAGGAAACTGAGACCCAGAGAGAAGTGACTCATTCACCTAGGGTCACACAGCTAGTTAATCACCTGAAACAAGATTCAAATTCAGTTCTGCCTGATTCCAAGTCCAGTCTTCTATTCACTATGCCACCCAACTGTTTGCTCCATGACACAACATGTCTTGAGGCACTCATTCTAACATTGGACAGCTCTATTAGTGAGTCTTTTATTGTTGTTCAGTTGTGTCCAACTTTTTATGACCCCATGGACAACAGCACACTGGGTCTTTTTGTCCTCCACCATCTTCCAAAGTCTGTCCAAGTTCATGTTCATTACTTCTATGACTCATAGCCATGTGCCTGGAGGCAAATCACTTAACTTCCCAGAGGCCCCAGCAACTCCCTAAGGTCATAAATTATAGAGAGTTGACAATTGGCACTGGTAGAGGGCTTTTCCATACTGGAAGTTTCCTAAGTGAGTGAAATCACAGCTCTTTTCTTTAAAGAAAAAAGCTTCAGCTCATCATTCTAGTCTGTTATGATTTTTATTGACTCCAATGCCAACATCTAAAATCATCCTATCTTTAAACTTAATAGGCATTCCATCTGTATTGTTATTCAAATTCTTGATATGAATCTTAAATAGGAGAGGGCCAAGGAGAAAGCCCATGGACAATCCACCAGAGCTCTTAGATTGACAGCCATCATTCATCATGACTCTCCATCTTGTTGACAAGGTTATCATGACACTTCATTGAAAGCTAGATCCAAATACTCTAACCTAGGGTCTCCCCCATGCACTCTGGGGCTCTCTAAGGGACTATATGTAAGCTAAGTGAGAAAAGAGATCTTATTTTATAAAGATCTTGAATCTCTTACCCTTACAGCCCCTCACAAAGGACACTGTGCATGAGACCTTCCTCATATAGTCCCAAGTAACTCCCAATAGCCAAGGCTTCTAGAAAAAAAAAGCCATCCAGGAATTGCCATGACAATCCCAGCTCACTGGCAGGAAATTCAGACACAATCTAATGTAAAATATGGTAAAATATGCAGGATTCTAGCAAGAAAAAGCAGAGCCAAACCTTTGGATTTGAATGTTTTGAAAAGGTGGATAGAATATTTTACTTCAAGGTGGATATGTTTCAACTGTATCAGAACATGGTTCCTGGGGGAAGAGACAGTTGACCCCATATCCTTGGATAAAGGGGCTCTCTGTCTTGCTTAGGTTAGCCCTCAGTGAGAGCCCAGGGAACAGATCCAAACAGATATCTTATCAGGTCCGGGAGCATGGATTTGATGACTTTTCAATTCCATGAATCTCTCTGGAAAGAGAGCACCCCCAATACGTTAGGCTGAACATTTCCTAGGCTAAATAGCCTTACTTAGTCTCCTTCCATCATCTTTCCATTTTCCAGCAGCAAATCCCTGTGGCCTTCCCTTAAACATACCAAATAAAGGGCCAACTGCTTTGAGCATCGACTACCTCAACTGATTCATCTGCAAATCTCCTGTAAGTCTTGGCCATGGCCCTAACAATGGTACCATCATGCCTTTGCTTAGGTACATAGTTGTGCACATACTCACGCTCAGGAGGGACATATGTGTACCAGGCATAAGCTAGGTAGTCTGAGGCAACCCTCCCCTAGCAGCACCTGCTTCAGAACCTGCTCCAGGTTAAAGGAATTCTTGATCTCCACTTGTTTAGTTATTTGTAGATTACTCAAAGGAACTGAGGATATTTAACCTGGAGAAAAGAAGACTTTGGGGAGGCCATAGTACCTATATTCAGGTATTGAGAGGCAGCATGGCATAGGTGATAGGGTACTGGATTTGGAGTTAGGAAGACCTGGATTCACATCCTGACTGTACCACCCACAGGCTGTATGACCCTGGATGAGTCATGCCTCAATTTCCTCATCTGTAAAATCAGAAAGATGGACTCAATGGCTTTTAAGTTCCCTTCCAGCTCTATGGTACTATAATATGGAGGAATAATTAGGTTACTCTGTTAGCCCAATAGTCTTCAGCATGGTGTAGTTGATAGAGAGTCCCAGACTTGGAATTAGGAAGAACCAAGTTCAAATCCTGCTTCAGACACTTAATAGCTGCATGACTCTGGGAAAGTCACTTCACTCAGTCTCAGTTTCCTTAGCTGTAAAATGAGGGGGTTGAACTCAATGACTTCCATCATTCCTTCCAACTATAAATCTAGGAACCTACAATTGTATGAACCAAGAATAATGGGTAGAAGTTGTAAGGATGTAAATTTAGACTTGATATTAAGAAAACTTCCTAGGCAGTAGAGAGACCCATCCCAAAGTGGCATGGGCTACCTCCAGAGACAAGGACTTCCTCAGCATGGTATCATTTGGGTAAAGGCTAGGATGCTCACTTGTTGGCTATAGAAGGTATTCTTGCACCGTCATGGGTTGGACCAGATGCCCTGTGAGGATCTTTTTGGTTTTGAGATTGTTTCAATAGCCTTTTAACCTCTATAACACCCACTTGGCCCCCTGGCCAGGCTGCCCATTTTAAGGGAGGAGATCAATGAAAAACCTAAGAGGAACTTGGGAAACGATGACTAAGTGAGTTAGAAGACCTAGTTCCAACCCCAGCTCTCTCATTAGCTGTGGGACTTTGGGTAAATCCCTTCTCTCTCAGCCTCAGTTTCCCCATCTGTAAAACAAGAGAGCTGTACTAGCTGGTCCCTTCCAGCTCTACATTCTTAGATGCTAGAATAGCATGATGATCAAGGTCAGCCTAAGGGAACCGCAAAAGCCATAACTCGCAAACTAACACCATCGTCTCCTACAAGCTCTCTCCATGGCTTGACTCCAGCCCAGGACTTGAGGGAAAGCAGGAAAATTGGAAAATTGATCGGGCATAAGGTACCCTTGGAGAAAATCAGCCATAATAGATCCTGACAAGTTAATTATCTTCTTATTCTCTGGGCAATGTTGCAGGAAGACACTCCCAGGGAGCCTGGCCTACTGCTCATCCCTCTCCATCCAAAGGGTCCACTCAGAGAGGACCCTTTATCCACTAACCCACTTCACACACACACTCTCTCCCAAAGCTCCACATTCAGAGAAACTCCAGAAAACCCACTGGCGTTCTAGGCTCGAGATAACAGGTTGGGTCTAAATGAGCAAACTCTACACCAGAGAAGCCTCCCTCAGTTCTCTCCTGCAAAGCTGTGAAAGGAGAAACACTCATGTTTGGCCTCTTGGAGCACCTCTATTATTGATCCCTTCTATCCTGTCCCAGTGCTTTTTGATTTTCCCCACCCTCCAGCCATACCAACTCATTCTGACCTCTCCTACAGCTCCTAAAACCAAACTTTGTCCCATTCCCTCAGGGAACTGTCCTCTACTTAATCCCTAATTCCTACTAAGATGTAAGGGGCTAACAGCTGAATATGTTGCTGCTTTCAGGCAACATTTTAACAGGGGACCAAAGGGTGATTAGAGAGTAGAGTAGGGTAGTAATGGTGTACTTTTCCCAAAGGGACTAGAGGAGATTCTTTAGGCAGGAGAAGCCTATTCAAAGAGACAGCACCATTTAATGAAAAGAACACCAACTTTAAGGTCCAAAGTTTGTATTTTAGCTCTGCTACTCACAACCTGTGTGACATTAAGCAGTTAACTCCCTCCTTCTAAATCTCGGTTTCCTCATCCATAAAATGAAGGGGGTGGACTTTTTATCTCTAGTACCTGTCAGGCACACAGTAGGCATTTAATAAAGGCTTGCTGACTGATCAATAAGGAGTCTTCCAACTATGGGCCAAAATGAGTCAGAAACATTCCTCTTGGGGATGTGTGTGTAGATATGCATATGCATGTATATACACATACATGTACATTTGTCATACATATGTGTTCAATATCCCAGTGTTTAAAAAAGGGAGTGTTGGGGACCTCAGTAGAGATCCTTCCCCCACCTCAAAGTAAGAGACAATGGAAGGTATGGTGTTTGTTTGAGAAATCGGGAAGGGAGATGACTGATTCCTAAGTAGAGACTTCTCTGTTTAGGTGTAATGGTCAAGGGGTGAGCTTCTACTGCCCCAATAATTCTCCACCTTCCTCCCCCAGTCCTAGAGAGAGGAGGGTCACATCCAAGTACACCGGACAAAACAATGTCCAAATATCCATAAAGGGATGGGGGTAGGGGGACGGTTCTACTTTAACATGAAAATTTGAGCCTATAAAAAAAGGGTAAGTTGAGTCATCATCCAGCTTGCAGAAGGATTTAGGGAGGATTCATGGCATCTAGGATGGAAGACCCAGAGCTGTAAGGTAACTCAAAGACCATCTAGTCCAACCCTTCTTTTTTGCAGAGGAGGAAATTGAAGCACAGAAATGCCCAAAGTCATGACATCCTAGGATCACAAGCCTAGAGCCAGAAGGATCCTCAGAGATGGAATTCAACTTGGGCCTGGGCCTCAGTTTCCTGAATTGTCCCCAGCAGTCACCTGGACCTGGTTGTTTCTTGTCTGTCACCCAGATGAGGCCCCTGGTCCCTGGGCTAGGTCCTGGACTCAAAAAGTCACAGACAGTTGATAGCTTCCTGCTCTCCAGCCCCAGCAGCTCACTCACTCACCATCAATGCCAAGCACCTCCTTACTCTTGTTTTCCAGGCATGGCTCAAACTGGTCGATGATATTCAGGCAGTACTCCTTGGTCACATCCATCATCTGGAATGAAACAGCCGCATAACCATCAGCCCACTTTAGGCTTGCTGGTCCCTGCTCCTCACCAGCGCCTGCCCAGCCTCCTGCCCTGCAGGGTCTCTCATCCCTCTCATTCTGTTGCTATCACTGTGTCAGGATTGCCAGGCTTGGGTCACCTAGCCAAATACTCTGGCAGTTGGGGTGCGGCATCACAGCCAGCCCCTGCCATTTCCCCTGCCCTTGGTAAGGCTGACTCTTAAAGCCCATTTCACTGAAAAGCTCATGAGTTTGAGCCATGGGATAGAGACAGGGCTGACTGAGGTCAACAGGACCATAGATTAATTACCTACATCTATAGACCAGACTGGCTTTAGAGAGAAGCAATTCATCAGAGCCAGGGGCTTTATAGGTAAGAGGAGGATTAATAAAAATTAGCCGGGTAGTACATGCTTAGGAGGAAAGAAAGAAGTTGTTTGGGGCCAGATCAAAGGACGTTTTAACAACTCACAGAGAGGCTGGGTTAATTCTGGGAAAGATGAGGGAGAAAAATAATCTTCCTAACTTTTGAAAACAGTGGGTAGGTAGAGAAAAGAAGTTCTCGAGTTTTGCCCCCTTTTGCTGTAAGGAACTTTCAGTGAAGTTGTGAGAACCCTCTGTGCCTCAGTTTACCCAGATGTACCAGGAAGGTAGAGGAGAAGATCACTGAATATCAAAATAAGAAGCCACTTAGTTCAATACCCTCATTCCACAGATGATAGAACTGAGGACCACAGAGGCCAAGCAACTTATCCAAGGTCACCCAGACAGACAGCAAATGGCAGAGCAATGCTATTTAAAATCTCTCTGGACTGCAGTCTCCATAGCTACAAAAGGAGAAGTTGGACTAATGATATCCAGGTCCCATCCCCACTTCCCACCGCCAACCTCATTCTGTGTTTTAAGATCATTCCCAACTCTGACACTCTCTCTTCTGAAATCCCAGCTCTGAAATCTGCAACAGCTAATGATAACATCTAGCACTTATATGGCACATTAAGCTTTGTAAAATGCTTTGCATATTTTATCTCAATTCATCTTAACAATGGCCCTGTGAGGTAGGTCCTTAACATCCCAATTTCATAGCTGAGGAAAATGAGGCAAATAGAGGTTAAGTGACTTGCTCAGGGTCACTCGGCTACTGTCTGACTGAGGTGCCTCTCAACTCTGACCGGAGATCAGGACTTCTTCCAGATCTTATATCTTAAGACCCTGTAACCTAAACGAGTTAACTCATCATAAAGTACCCACTTCTATGCTGTTCATCTCCCTCATGGGAAACACACACAAGATTTTCCAGGTCAGGACCCTTAGGAGACAAATCTAGGAGTTTCAGCGCCTCACTCCTTCCCCAGAATGGGCTCCTGGTTTGTCCTGTGAACCAGAAGCTCTGGAGGGGTATGTAGCTGGATGCCAGCTGTGATTACTCTAGTACATTGCTTCCCACAGCTAGAGTTCATTTTCTCTCTCTTGACAAGTAAAGGAATCAATAGCCCAGCCAGACATTAACACATCCTTGTTGCTCTGAAAAGACATCCACGCCTTGCTCCCGAGCAGACTGGGCCAATGGATTGTCAAGGATGAGGAACAGGGGAAGAATAGAGAATAACAGGTTGGCTGGGTTAGGGAGGGGAAGATCTCCTGTCTGTTCCAAGCCTCTACTTGCCCCTGTCCTTTCTTTCTGAGCTACTCCCCTTGAATCATAAAGAAGGAAACATTATCCCTTTCCCATCCTTTTAACCCCACTGCCCAGAGACCCTTTGACTGCTTCAGAGCCTACACTCCACCCCAGCCCCCATCTACATCCCCAAGCTCTCAAAGGAAAGGAGGGCTCCCGGGGAGCAAGGGAAGAGAAGGGTTTAGGACAAAAGAGAAGTGACCCTTCTTTTTCCCTGATAGGAATGAGCTTAGGGAACTCATTACCCCAAGGTGCAGCACAGGTCAGAAATAGAAATAAGGTTAAGAAGGGATTAGATAACCCAACAAAGCCAGCATCAGCACCTGCCTTTTTCTAAGCTCCTCCACCCTCTAGCAAGTTCCATTGGTATTTTCTTAGGAAAAATTCATTAATTTATTCAGGCATGCTTGGCATCAGAACCATCACCAGGGTGGGGCAGTTGGAGCTTTGTCCCAAGGTGCCAACATGCAGTGAAGGTGGTTTTTTTTTTTGGTTTTTGGTTGGGCAATGGGGGTTAAGTGACTTGCCCAGGGTCACACAGCTAGTAAGTGTTATGTGTCTGAGGCTGGGTTTGAACTCGGGTCCTCCTGAATCCAGGGCCAGTTCTCTATCCACTGTGCCACCTAGCTGCCCACAGTGAAGGCAGTTTTTAAAGCATTTATTAAGCCCCTATGATTTTTTTCAAGCCCAAGGTGGGGCAGTGGGTAGAGCACTGGCCCTAGAGTCAAGAAGAATCATCTTCATGAGTTCAAATCTGACCTCAGATGCTTACTAACTGAGTGACCCTGGGCAAGTCACTTAACTCTGTCTCAGTTTCCTTATCTGTAAAATGAGCTGGAGAAGCAAATGGCAAACCTCTCCAGTATCTTTACCGAGAAAACCCAAAATGGGATCATGAAGAGTTGGGCATGACTGAAAAATAACTGAACAAAAACTAAATAAAAAAGAAACAAAAAGACCAACGAATATAGTTCAATGTACTGGAAAAGGCCACTGACTTGGTAGTCAGAAGACTTGGGTTTGAATCCAGACTTGGCAACATACTAGCTTTGGGACATTGGGCAAATCACTTGACTTCTCTGGACCTTAGTTTCCTCCTCTGTAAAATGAACGCATTTGGATTGGATGACTTCAAGGGACTCTTCTCAGCTCAAAATCTTTTGCTTCTGGAATCCAATGAATAAAGTCAGTGCTGTATTGCAGGATGAGCAATGATTTTGGAGGCTGACAAACTGGGTTAAAATCCCATCTTCATCACTTAGTACCTAGGTGACAAGTCCCTCCTCCTCTCTGGGCCTCAGTTTCCCTTTCTGTAAAATGAGGAGCTTGGACTAGCTGACCTCTGAAACCTATTCCAGCTGTAGCTGTAGGAGCTTGGGAACATAAGGAACTCACCAAAGATCAGACTTAGGCTGCTCTTAAACAGATGACAGAAGGAAGCAGCTTTGGTTGTTATTGTTATTGAATCATTTTACTCACATCCGACTCTCCATGACCCCATTTGGGGTTTTCTTGGCAGAGACACTGGAGTGGTTTGTCATTTCCTTCTCCAGTTCACTTTCCAGCAGGAAACTGAGGTAAACAGGGCTAAGTGACTTGCTCAGGGTCACATAGCTAGTAAGTGTCTGAGTGCAGATTTGAACTCGGGTCTTCCTGACTTCAGGTCCCAAAGTCCATCCACTACACCACCTAGCTGTCAGAAAGAAGCAGATAACTTTGTGTTTTTCTATCCTGTGGGCCAGTGGTACTGTTTGATTAGAGTTGATTTCTAGGAGGAAGGGCATGAATCCACGACTGTCCCACCTCCCTCAAACGTGAGAGAAAAGAACAGGAAACAAGGCTGAGCAAGCACTGTGACCATTTAGGGCTGTAGGTGGGGAAGACATCAGAAAACCCAGCACCATGGGGCAGAGAGAGGAGAGCTCTGGTCCTTCTACCTCTCTGTACAGCTGGATCTGAGCTACGATCAACACTCCCATGTCTCTGCATGGATTCTTAACCGAGAGTCCATCAACTTAAAAAATTTATTTTGAGAACTTTATTTCCATCTAATTGGTTTCTTTAGTAATCCTATGTATTTTATTTTGTGCATTTAAAAAACATGATTCTAAGAATGTGTCGATAGGCTTCAGGAGGCTACCAAAGGGTCCATGATACAAAGACTATGAACTCCTACCCTGAAGCATTCCAATTTACTCTGAAATCTCACCATTGTTTTCCTTAAAGGAAAGAATCTATCGCCTGACAAAAGGCTCACAGAGCACTGTAGCTACTGAGATGGAACTGGCTAAGCATCTAGATAACAAACCCTCTTGTCACAAGGTTCTCATGAATATGTAGCATCGGGTCAGGACTGCATGAGGACCAGGCAAGAGCTAGACCTGCCTCCCAGTGGCATCAAGGGACTTCAGGAGCACCAGGATTCCAGACTCAGGCTCTTTTACTCAGAGATATTGGCCAAGGAAGGTGCAAAAAGGGAGGTTTTCTAGCTGCTACCTGACTCAGTGGAGCTCCTTAAATTACTCTACCTCTGGGAGGGACACCAAAAAGCACAAAGAATTCCAGCGATGTTTGCCAGGGACTCTTTTTGAAAAGCGATTCATGAAATAAAAATGAAGCTAAGAACCAGGCAGCAGTAGGAAAGCCAGGGAGATTTGGGATAACGACTTAATCGGCACATTTGTGCTTCCCTCTGGGGTTGGTGCCTGTTAAGATTTAATGGAAGAGAGCCCATCTGCAGTGAGGAAAGTCTGTTTCACTCGGGTAGTACAAGCCCCAGGAGGAGTGGAACGATGGGTCTGGGTCTTCTCTAGAGCACAACAAGTACGAGGGTCAGGAGACAAGACAGATGGCCCCTCCTCGGACACAGCTGCTCAAATCGGTCATCAATCTGCAGCACACCCAGGCAGCAACTCCCCCAGTGCGCTGGGAGACGTGTGCCCTGCTTGTTTCCTGACAGTCCATAAATAATCAGAAATAACATGAAGGGAGCCCCAGGGAGACGCCATGTTGGATTAGCGAACTTGCAAATTCTGGAGCTAGAGCCCAGTGCACTGGGGGTCCCCCCACCCCAACACATGCCATCCAACAGGATCAGAATTCCGTGAATGGAGGTTAACACCTGAGCACCTGGGATAGGAGCCCCTAACTGGCATTCAACAAACATGTTATCTTTGGCAGACTTGGGTTCTATTTCAAAGTCTGGTGTTCTCTTGCTCAACGACCTTGGACAAATTGCTTCCCTCTGATTCCCCATGAACACAGACTATGATAGAGCTAGTCCAACCTCCTTGTTTTATAGGTAGGAAACCTGAACTCAGGAGAATAAAGTGACTTGTCCAATTGCCCAGAGGGTGAAAGCTTCGAAGTCAGTAGGGAGAGTTAACGCCCTGGACATCAGAGCTAAGATCCAGAAAGATCTTGATGACTTAGAATCTTAAAGAATGTGTAGTTGGGATTAATGTACACAGGGGTTCAAGACCTGATCTTCCCAAGGACAAGGTGAGGAAGGCATGGTTAGACAGCAATTTATCTGAAAAAATCTGGGGGTTTTCAACCCCTCTTAATTCCAGTGCTTTCCCATGGTTCATTATTTCCTATATATGGCTTGTTTGTATAAATTTGTTTGCATGTTGTCTCCCCCATTGCCCCTCAAGGGCATGGAATTGTCTTTTGCCATGGGGTGACCTAGATAGCCACTGAAGTCCCCTCCAACTCTAAGACCCTGTGACTTCAAGTCAGGACCACAACCTTGGTCCCCTGAAACCAAGGTGATTGACTAAGTGCTTTCTCGCCTTCCCCATGCTGCTCTCTCCTCTGTAACCTGCCTGCCTCCCAAGGATTCTGGGAGGATGAAATTACTTTAATGGACAAGAAAATAGGGAGTGTGATTCCAGTGTAAGGCAGCTGGGTTATTGGGCTATCATCATTATTGGCCTCTTATGGTAATTTTCAATGCAGAGAAAACCCTGGAAAATCCAGCCATTCTGCCCTCCTGAGCACTGTAGCCTAGCACATAAAAGACTCTAGTAAAGCCTTCCTCTTTCTTCCTTCTCCCCCTCCTCCTCACAAAAGCGTGGAGATGCAATAAGAGCTATGGTGGGGATACCAGACAGAGAGTGGATCTTCTCTCAGCCTGGAGATCAGGCACAGAAAGACCTCAAAGAAATACCTGTCCCTGCCTTTGCCCTGTGCCTTTCTAATTAGCTAAAACTTGGCATATATAACTCTCCCTCCAGTTAATCATGCTCTGGTACAGGGACCCTCACCAAGAAACCCCTCTGACCACCTCCTCCTCAAAGTAAAGGAGCCAGAGCAGGGCTGGAGCCTAATGCCAGTGGGTGAAGAAAGCCCAGAGGATGCCCCCCTGCCACCAATCTGATAGGACCCAGAAAAACAGACTGTCTGTGGTAAAAAGTTCTAAGACAGAGATTCTTAATCTGGAGTCTGAGAACTTTTTTAAAATAGTGTTTGATAACAACAGAAGCAACTAGGTGGCACAGTGAAATCAGGAAGACCTGAGTTCAAATCCTACCTCAGACACTGATTAGCTTTATGACCCTAGATGAGTCATTTCACCTCTATCTTTCTCAGTTTCCTCAGCTGTAAAATTGGGATAGTTATAATAGGGTTGTTGTGAGGATCAAATGAGATATTTGTAAAGCACTTAGTACAGTGCCTTGAACATAAAAGACTTTTAGCAAATCCTTCCTCTTTCTTCCTTCCTTCTTTCCCCCACCTTCCCTTCTTTTTTCCTTCCTTTCTCTCTCCCTCTTTCCTTCCTTCCCCCTCCCTCCTTCCCTCTTTCCTTCCTTTCCCTTTATCTTCCTTCTTCCTTCCTCTCTCCCTCCTTTCTTGTTTGCTTTCTTTCAACATAACTGTTTTCCTTTGTAATCCTGTGTATTTTATTTTATGCATTTAGAAACACGATTCCGAGAAGGGGTCTAGAGGATTCACCAAACTGCCCAAGAGGTCCATGGGCACACACTCAGACCAGTGTGCACTCGCTGTCTCTCTCTCTCTCTGAAAACCCCTGCTCCAAGGACTTAGTTCACTGCCCCAAGAACTAATTACTTGAATCATTTCCCCTCCTAAGTTAGCTAACCACAGCCCCACAAAGATTCTTCAAGGACAAAAGTGCTTCTAGGGCAAAAACACAAACTCCTTTACTTGGCTCTGAGGACCCTGGATATAGAGCTGGAAGGTGTTCAGAGGCTGTCTAATTCACCCCTCCCCTTTGTTTTACAGAGAAGGAAACTGAGGCCTAGAGAGAGTAAGTAGCCTTTAAAGCCCTTCCCAACGCAGCTCCACTGTTTCCTTCCAGGCTTGCTGTGATGACTGTATCACCCACACCATGGTCGGGCCAAACTGGCCCTTCCTGCCACACCCTATGGCTCTCACCTTTAGGAACAGGCTCTCATCGGGTCCAAAATGCCTGCTCTCCTCACTCCTGCCTCTCAGAACCCCCAGTTGCCCTCAAGGCTCATTGTACAGGACAGTTTTCCTGACCCCAGTTATTAATGCCTTCCCACTCCAAATATTTGGATTTGTATGCCTTTCTCTGTTTGTGAGTTATTTCATCTCTTTAGAATGGAAGCTCCTTGAGGGCAGGAACCATTTGATTTTTGTCTTTGTAGCCTCAGCAGCAAGCACAGTGCCTGTGATTTAGTAAGTGCTTGGTAAATTCTGGTTTCTACCATGCTCTTACCACCAGGATGGGCCAGGACCCCATGACAGCCTCATAAAGAAGCTAAAGACAGGTAGTGCGTTTTCTAGAATGAGGCATCAGGGTATAATGTCCAACCCATGATCCATGACATAATTATCTCTGAGTGAGTGGGAGCCTGTGTCCTGGAGACACCTGGGTCCTGCAGCCAGAGATGATCCTGGTAGGCATTATCTGTTAAAATGGGGCAGCCAAGGCCTTATGGCTTAGAGCTTCGTGCCCAGGAGGCTTCTCAAGGTTCCACAAAGGGCTGATCAAAGCCAGGTGCCCATGGAGGCCTGGCGCAAACAGCTGTCAACGTTCTTCCCCGCCCCCCCAGGGTCGTGGGATGCTATTGACTTGTTCGCTGGGCACTGAGCTGCATTATAAAATCTGCCTCGCTGTGCTTGCACGGCCCGTCTCACTAAACTGTGAGCTCCCCAGGAGAGAGGACAAGATTTCCAGCTCCTTCTCCTCCGGAGAGCTGAGAAGGCAATTCAAGCTCCATAAATGTTTGTTTTCAATAAGCATTTATTGATCAACTGCTCTGGGCGCTGCCATGGACAGGCACTGGTGTGCTGGACCAGGAGTCAGGAACACCTGGGGGGAAGAGCCCGTCTCTGACACTTTCTAGCTGGGGAACCTTCTGCAAGAACCTTTTCCCAGCTCTCTTCACAGCTGCGGCCTTCCCTCAGGCTACCTTCCATTCATCGTGTAGAGACCTTGTAAGTGCCTGGTTATTTATACGATTGTCTCCCTCGGACAGTGAGTGGTTCTCAGAGCATAGAGACTTTTCTTAATCCTCGGAGCTTAATACAGTACCCGGCATACAGTAAGTGCCTAATAAATGCTTACTGACTGATGAGCTGCTCTGTGCCCCATGGGACCAGAGATCTAGAGGAAAAGACCTCAGAAGTCATTTATCTCAGCTCCCTCATTTTACAGCTAAGGAAACTGAGGCTCAAAGAGGTGACTTAGGTGACTTAGGGTCATAGATCTTGAACAAGAAGGGACTTCAGAGACCATCTAGTCCAACACCCTCATTTTAGGGCTGAAGAAATAGCAGCCCAGGGATATGAAGTGACTGTTCCCTGCTCCCCCCGCCCCTTCCCCGGCTCCCCCCCTCCCCCCCCCGCCCCTCCCCAGGCCCCCCCCCCCCCCCCGCCCCTTCCCCCGCTCCCCCTTCCCCCCCCCCAAGCCCCTGTCACCTTTTGTTCCACCTCCAGGAAGCGCTTCAAATCCTCTGTGTCCAAATGATCCTTGTGGTTGCTGTAGGTGAGCATGAGCAGGTAGAGGTCCCGGCGGGTGGACATCATCTTGTAAAATGCGCAGAACTCATCAAAGCCCAGTGTGCCCTGGTTGTCATCTGTGTCCGCCTCCTGGAACATAAAGAGCCCCCAGAGGCATGGGCCTGCAGGAACTCAGCTTTCCCTCCCCCTTCCCCTCTTCCTCCTCTTCCTCCTCTTCCTCCCCTCATTGCCCCCTCCTCTGGCTCTGCTGTGTGACCTTAGACAAGTCACTTAACATCTCCTAACCCTTAGGAGGTTGGATGTGAAGATCTCTATGTACCCATCAAGTTCTAAATAATACGCCTGTGACCTGTCCGGGATTGTTCTTGAAGTGATCTAATAGCTAAGAGAAGAGAAAGGTTTGGAAAAACATGAAAGAAGTGAGAGGAAGCTTCCATGAGAAGGGTGCATTTGAGTTGAACCTTGGAAAATGGGTAATAGACATGGGGGAGCTGGAAGAGGGGCAGAGAACATTGCTAGGAGAAGAGGGACAGCAATAGAGTTATGGAAATAAGGGAGATGTCGGGTCCAATTTCTCCAGGAATACTGAGGGAGAGAGAACGGTAAGGAAACCAGCCTGGTTGGAGTAGATGGGGCACAAGCTGAGCTAAACCAGCCTCTGCCCAAATATTCTCTACCTCACAGGGAGCCCCCAAAGACCCCTGAGCAAGACCCACTGAACTCTGACAATATGCATGCTTAACTTCCCTCCTTTCTTTAGAGGAGTGGGGGACTCCAGGTGCACAATGTTACACATGCAGTCAGATGCAGGTAACTTTAATTGCTTCTGCTAGAAGGGAAGGCTCACCAGGTGGTGGTGGAAGTGGGGTATAGACAGACGTGATTATGGTGTAGAAACAAAAGGGATCAATAAAACTTTAATTAAAATTAAAAACTAAAATAAAAGCAAGAGAAATGTCCTTAGAGGTTCAGGGTTTTTTTTTTTAAACATGTAATTAGTGAAAAATAAAATATCATTTTTAAAAAAGGTTCAAACTTTTACTCATGACCTGGTTCAGCATCCCAGAATAGAGGCAGGGAGGAGAGGCAGCAGGGTAGGGAATAGAAGCCACCATCCTGAAACCCTAAAACCTTAGGTGGTTAGATGTGAAGATCTCTATGTACCTATCAAGTTCTAAATAGTATGCTTCCTTGACCCGTCCTGGATCATTCTTTTTTTTTTTTTTTTTGACTAGGCAATGGGTTTAAGTGACTTGCCCAAGGTCACACAGCTAGTAAGTGTCAAATGTCTGAGGCCGGATTTGAATTCAGGTCCTCCTGACTCCAGGGCCGGTTACTATCTACTGCACCACCTAGCTGCCCCCGTGGATCATTCTGGAAGTGGTCTAATAGCTAAGAGAAGAACAGGGTTTGGAAAAAAATGAAAGAAATGAGAGGAAGCTTCCGTGAGAAGGGTGCATTTGAGTTGAACCTTGGAAAATGGGTAATACACATGCGGGAGTTGAGAAGACTCTGCCTAAAGGTTAACTGCACTTTGAGACCCATGTCAGACCCAGGCCTGAGTAGAAGATGAAGTACAGATTCCTGCCCTGACCCAAGGCAACAAGACACTTCCTGGCCGGACCACCACGCTGGATGCTAAAAATCACACCCAGTCTCCAGCTCTATCTCCGAGATTTCATTTTGTTAAAATGCTAATTAAAAGTTGCTGGTCAGCAGTTATAAACAAGTGGAGACCCAGGAGGCTTGGAACCCCCCCTCCAAGACCGATTTTCACAATAAAATCAGGAGCAGCCCGATTCTCAGCCTGCCTAATTATCTGGACAGCGGCTACCATCCATCTAGATTGAGATTTGACAGGATTCCCAAAGCAGGGAGACATGCAGTGACTTTGCCTGGGTCAACCAGCTTCCACTGGCAGCCTCCACCATCAGTATTCAGGCCAATGCAGAGCTGCAGCTGCCCACTTAATAACATCCATTCCAGGGCCAATTGCTGTCATTGTGGCCACTAACTCAGAAAACCTTGGTTGTGTTTCTAGTGTCCTGGAGTATCAGCTTCACATCTCATTATGGTCTCCTGTACATAATGACATGATTTACCACATTGGCCCAGCTCTTTGTTCAGAAAGGCCATTTCCCAAGAATATCCAAGTGCATTTTGGTTGTCCAAAAAAAAAAAAAATCCACTTTCTTGTCCTCCTTGGTGCTGCTAACTGGAATGAGAGCTGAGGCTGAATTCAGAAGACCCAGGTCCAAATTCCAACTGGATTACTTGCTAGCTGGGTGACTCTGGTCCTCAGTGGCATCCTCTTTAAAATGAGGAGGGTTGGACCCCAAGTAATGTCTAAATTCCTTTCCATCTCTAAATTTATGGCCCTAAGGAAGCGACTCAACTAAGTAGTCTTCCCATATGGCCAATTCTTTGTGGGTTCAGGGAATTTGGATGAAATGCCCTTAAAGGGGACTGGGCTAAATTTCACTCTGGCTTAGGGAGAGAGTCTAAATGATACCCCTACAAATACTCCAAGAATTTGAGATTTTGTTGGAAACAAAGAACTCCAAGTGTGGGAGCTGCCTCCTTGAATACAGATTGCAACCCATAACTTAGGAGATTTAGATATCAATCAGTAGGCACTTAAGTGCCTACTATGGGGCAGCTAGGCGGCTCAGTGAATAGAATGTCAGGCCCGGAGTCAGGAAAACCTGAGTTCGAATCCAGCCTCAGACATTTACTAGCTGTGTGACCCTGGGCAAGTCACTTAACTCTGTTTTCCTCAGTTTCCTCATCTGTAAAATGAGTTAGAGAAGGAAGTAGCAAACCATTTCAGTATCTTTGCCAAGAAAACCCCAAAAGGTCACAAAGGATCAGACATGACTGAACAGCAATAAACATGATAGATACAAAAGATATAAAAATTAGAATGAAATCTGTCCCTGCCCTCAAGGAGCTTACATTCTATAATAATAGTAGATATCATATGGCACTTTAAGATTTGAAAGGGTATCTCAGGATCTCATTTGAACATCACACTCCTATATGATGGGTATTACAGACATTACCACCCTTATTTGACCAATGAAGAAGCAGAAATTCTGGGAAGTTGACTTGCCTTTGATCCCTAGTCTTTCTGAGACCAAGACCAACACTTTAAGGAAAATACTAGGGAAAAAGAGGAAGGGGAAAAGCAGATAGTCTAACATGTCAATCAAAGGGAGCTGTCTGAAGTCCGTAGAGATTAAATGGCTTAACCAGCATCACACAGTTAGTATTTGGGTTAGAAACTGTTGGGAGCTAAATAAGAAGAAATCACATTTCAAGAGTGCTTTAAAAGGTTTGAGACCCAGTCCTACCATTTGAAAGCTATATGACCTTGGGTAATTCATGGCTCTCTGAGACTCAGTTTCCAACTCTAGTAAATGAGGGGGTTGAGTTTTCTGGTCCCTAACCGTCCTTCCAAGCTCTCCCGTTCAATGCTTCTGTCCCCTTTAAGCACCCATGGTTAGAGAGCAGGGAAGGGAAGCTATACAATCCACCCCATCCCCTGCTCACCCTGCAGCTGAAGCCCTCAAGATGACAGTGTCTGAAAGGAAAATACAACTTCGCACTAGTAGGAAGAGTGGACCAGAAGCCGAGGAACCTGGGTTCTAGTCCCCAATCTGTATCCTTGAGAAAAATCACTTTCTTTCTCTGGGCCTCAGTTTCCTCATTTAAAAATTGAGGGTGAGGGGAATTGGACTAGGATCCATGCAGGTCCCTTCCAGCCCCAAATCTATAGTCCTGTGATTCCCTTCTTTTCAATCCTTATCAGTCAGTCAGTCAATAAACATTTATCAAACACCTCCTATATTCCAGGCACTGTGCTAAGTGCTGGGGATAGAAATAAGAAAAAGAAAGATGGTCCCTGCCCTCAAGGAGCTTACAGTCTAATGGGGGAAGGCAATACACAAAAGGAAGATGAAAATGGGGAGTAGGGAGCAGTAGCTGGCAGATAGCAGGGCACGATGAACAAGTATAAAGGAGAGTAACCAAAGGATGGAGGAGCCCTCCAGCCCACACATCTTCAGAGGTGTCCCAGGAGCAGAGGGTACCGATCACCAAGCGGATGATCTTGCAGGACGATGAGCTTCCTGTGAGTTTCATGGGGAACACTGTCTGCCAATGTCCCCCAACCCAACCATGAAGAGGGATTTCAGCAGGAAGTAGATGCCTGGCCCTAGATGGTAGCCACTGCTCTCCACTGATAAAAGGTATAGGAGGCCCAGGGGAAGAAAGCCAGCTTTGGAGTCAGACGCTGCTGTTGTTCAGTTGTTTTTCAGTCACATCCAATTCTTCATGACCCCATTTGGGGTTTTCTTGGCAAAGACACTGGAGTGGTTTGCCATTTCCTTCTCCAGCTCATTTTACAGATGAGGAAACTGAGGCAAATGGGGTTAAGTGACTCACCCAGGGTCACCCAGCTAGTAAGCGTCTGAGGCTGGATGGAGGCTGGATGGAGGCTGCTCCATACCCAGCACCACTTAGCTGTCCCTAAGGTCAGAGGGCCCCTGGATTTAAATCCTACTTACTGTCTGTGTGACTTTGGACAAGTCATTTGGGCCTGAGTTTTATCTTCTGTTAAATGAGGAGCTTTCATAGAAAGATGGTCTTTCAGGTCCCTTTCAGCCCTAAATTCAGGATCCTAGGATAAGAAAGTAGAGACCTGAATTTTTCACATCTATTCAGTGTTTAGGATTCAGTCTAATTTCTTTTTTTTTGTTTTTGTTTTTGTTTTTGTCTTTGTTTTTGTTTTTGTTTTTGTTTTTGCTTTGTTTTGTTTTGCTAGGCAATGGGGTTAAGTGACTTGCCCAGGGTCACATAGCTAGTAAGTGTTATGTGTCCAAGGCTGGATTTTAAACTCAGGTCCTTCTGACTCCAGGGCTGCTGCTCTATCCACTGCACCACCTAGCTGCCCCTAGCCTAACTTCTGCATGACTGGACTGCTCAGATCTGTTTACAAGGCAACCTGAGTGAGCAGGGCACAAAGGGCATGGGGGAAAATGAACTCACCAGGGAATGCCATGAACCTACCCATAGTCGAGGCTGCACAAGCACAGAGCAGCAAGATCCAATTAGCTACACATGTGTCT